CGATGGCAACAATACGAAACCATGTATCTCCGTTTCCGACTTTGAAGACTTCCTGTTATACTTTATTTTTCTTTTGGATAACTAGCCAACGCTTTTGGAAACTTTCTTGATTGTTCTCTCCTATTAGCAGAATATATTCCGTATGAATTTCAAGCAATGAAGTTAGCTTGTTCTCTTCAAAAAAATAAAAAAGGAGCGGAAATTTTATAACAGCAGTATGGAGATACGCGGTGTCGCACTTTAACCATCGATTTTTAAGATATGTGTAATTTATTTTGAGTTGTATTTGTGTTTAAAAATGTTTGATTTTGGTCGAACAAAATTTCTGTGAGAGAAAAACTAATGACTTCTCCGCAGCCGTGTTGATTTATAACAAGCACGGGGGCACAAGTATTTTAAATAAAAATGACTAAGAGAAGGAACGTGAAAGAAAATAATTGTTTTTTTTTTTTTGTAATCGAGTACTCAAAGGTGTCTTTTTTCGTAAAAATTTTTAGGAACTTTTGAGATTCGATTCTGAATACTTTTCAAAACAGAGCAAGGATCTAATTTATCGCCAATTATTTTGGTCTGTTATAAAAAATACTTCCCTCAACTAATCTCACTATTGACTTTATCAAAAGTCATTACTTTTTCCTGTTACGAACCAACTCAGGTTCGAGTCTAGGAATATTTAGAGGAACTCTACATCAAAATTTTGCAACTTTGTTGACAAATAATTTACAGAATATAAGTTTCATGGCATTTCAACAGGCATCGCTGAATTAGCCTTGGCTTGTGAGATGTGAATTTCATTTAAAAAAAAAAAAAAAAAAAATGGTCAGTACGGCGCGGTTATTTCAGGAACTTGATCAATCCATGCTGACAAATGAACAAACGAGTGTGAAAAAAGCTAATCAAATATTAGAATGAATAAATTAAAAAAAAAATGTTTAGAAAGGAATAAAATAACAGTATTAATGGCAAATTACAACAAATTTAGGTCCACTTCTAGGTATCACGAAAAACAGAATTAGAGGATACTGGATGATACATGGGCATTTACGATTATAATTGTGGTGGTACCCCAATAAATTATGTTACTAACCCAAAAGTTGCGGTACAACCAAAATTAATTGGAAATGGCCGTATAATCCAACAAATTGGGGTAATACCACAATTTTAGGGGATAACCCCTAACACTTTTTTCCCCCGTGATGCGATTCCAAAAAAATAATTTGACAACTAAACAAGGGAACAAAAGAATCGGGAGAACACAATTCTCTCTGATTACATTGCTGTGGTGAAGCAAAAGTTGGGGAAATGACGTCACATGTGCTTCCTCATATGATACTTGAGGACGGTTTTCTGGCGTGCTTTGTAGGGGCAGTGTGGGCACGGGAACTGGGGTTCGACCCCACATTCGAGTCGCTGGTGTCGCCGCAAATTGTCCTTGTACTTGTAGGTGCGGCCACACTGACAGCACGCGTGAGACTGAGGACTAAACGGCAGCATTCTCACCCCAAAACGCGATAGTGCGCCTGAAATCAGCAGGCCGAGAAAAAAGAAACAAATAATAAAACAATGTTCCTAGAATCCAGTTTTCGACGTAATGACGCAAGAGATCTACGAGAAAAAGAATAAAAAATGGTAATTCTTTGAAGCCGAAATAGTCAAAACTGGCGAGTTTTGAATAGTCGACTTCGGAAGTGGTGACCTACATCATCGCTATACTGTAACGCGTGAGGTTAAGCACAAATTTGGGGGGGGGGGGGGGAGGGATCTCGCCTTACGAACCGAAGATTTCAGGGGGCGGTTTTCGGTTCAGAGTACTGAAGCTTTAATATGAACCAAACTCCAGCCCGGGGCAACTGAAATATCAGCGGGCTGATTGATGAAATGGATGATAGGCAAAGCGATAAACAAAGAAGAAGACGGGAAAATGGAGAGATGCTACTGGTTGAAACGAGTGGTTGTATTAGACGAGGGACGCACTTAGGCTAAAATGGTGGACTGAGTAAAAAGGGCCTCCTGTGGGTTGCATTTAGTTAGTTTATCACTCACCTTCTGTCTCCATTGCAAACGCCCGCTTTTGCCAATAGGATCCCTCCACTTTCTCTTCATACTCTTTGTCTATTACTTTGTGTATCTATTTCAATAATCAGCCTGCTGTTCAACGAACCGAAACACCTCGACTCATATGGAACATGTTCTATATGCCCAAAGTTAATCGGTTCTGAGGAGGAGGCGAAGGCACTGTAGATAGATAATTCACTGACGGGTTTACTTTTCTGACGGAGCGTTCAACTCTTTTCAATAAGGAGCTTTTTCCTTCTCGTCCGATAAACCTAACTACACAATGCACATGGAAAAAATAATTTATTTCCGGAAAATACACTAAAGAACAACTCAAGGGTTGGATCATTGTTGTTTTGGAGGGAAAAGAGCCCTAGGGACCTTCACAGGACTACACACGGATCCGCGCAGGGCTGGTGTCTGTCTATACTTAAAATCAAGATGATGCCATTTGACAGATCTCTTCAAGCATGAGGGTCAACTGTTTTTTCATAAAATACCTACGTATCTTATTCCAACATTTTTGGAATTTTTCAAAATGTATAAGATTGACAGGCTGGTAAAAAATTGAAGCTAAACCCGGGGCCCTGTTAGAATTCACTGGAGGTTACATGGGAGCAAGAAAACAGGAAACTACATGGAACCGCTTCGGTAAATTTTAATCTAAGTAATTATCATTTGATCGAGTTGTAAAATCAATTTTAATTTTTAAGAAACTAAGAGCAATGAGATACAAAACTTCTGTTACATGGAGGGAAGCTTCGAGGACCATCAATATGTTTCAATTAATAGGGGAGAAAAGCCCGAAAACATGTAGTCAATTTTCAGTATCAAACGCGGATAACAATAGTGACTGCAAGTGTCCAGCTAGAGTTTACCTAAATCATGACTACTTCTTGAATAAACAATCTGAACTACATGTTCATTGAGGATTGAGAACAGCCTTCCGGAGTCTGCCTCAAAACTAAGTCGTTGAATACCTGTTTTTAATGATCATGGGAGGGTTCGTTCATTTTTACGTCAAACTTCCCCCTCCCACTTGGTCACTCACTCGCCACGCAGAATTGCAACGTTCCTCTTCCCTCAAAAATTGAGTCACGGTTGGGTAGACCCTTCCTGCCCCCCNNNCCGTATTTGAAACCGACATTTTTCTCTGATATTTCTGATAAAAGTATCGATGAATTTTCAACAAATCAGCACTCCGAAACTTTTTTTTAAAAAAATTTCAATAAATTATAATTTATACCGGAGTTTCCGCGTAAAGAGCGACACCAAAAACGACCGTTTTTTGGCACAATTTGGGCCAGAAGGGATTTTTCTGAAACCGGGCCCAAACGATACCTTATGATACCCTAAAACTCTGGTTAAAATTTTAGCTTGAGTATACGCACGGTTTTTGAGAAATGAGGGGGCAATGTTGCCAAATCGCCATCATTCTGAACAGCATTTCTACAGCAAAAAGACGGGAAAAATGGACGAAAAAGTTACACCTTTGATGGGTTGCGGCTGTAAATGTTCTTATTGGGCCCCCAAGCATTTAACTGTGTTCAGTTTCAAAAATTTTGATCGCACTGTGGTCCAAAGTGGGGAGAAATCGTCGACAAATCAGGATTCATTGTCAAATTTTTAAAAATGGAAGTAAAATTGTCGGTCTGCTGCAGTTTTCATGGCTAACAATGTTCTTATCGGTCCTCAATGCATGAAATTGTGTTCAGCTTCACAAATTTACATCGCACAGTGGTCAAAATGACAGAATTAGTGGACAAATTAAGATCCTCTGTGAAACTTTTTAAAAGTGGAGTGAAACTGTTGGTCCCCAGTAGAGTTTAGATCCCGGAAAAATTATTTAAATTATTTTTTGGACTGTTTAAATCATTTTTTAATTTTTTCTCTCCATTTTTCCTTCTTTTTTTAAATTTCTGAAAGTTTGCATATTTTATTGAGATAATGCTACAAAGTCTATTCTATAACAACGTTCTATAGACAATACGGTCTGACATGCAGTAATAATTAAGAAAATTAAATACATGAATTTTTCCGGGATCTAAACTCTACTGGGGACCAACAGTTTCACTCCATTTTTAAAAAGTTTCACAGAGGATCTTAATTTGTCCACTAATTCTGTCATTTTGACCACTGTGCGATGTAAATTTGTGAAGCTGAACACAATTTCATGCATTGAGGACCGATAAGAACATTGTTAGCCATGAAAACTGCAGCAGACCGACAATTTTACTTCCATTTTTAAAAATTTGACAAAGAATCCTGATTTGTCGACGATTTCTCCCCACTTTGGACCACAGTGCGATCAAAATTTTTGAAACTGAACACAGTTAAATGCTTGGGGGCCCAATAAGAACATTTACAGCCGCAACCCATCAAAGGTGTAACTTTTTCGTCCATTTTTCCCGTCTTTTTGCTGTAGAAATGCTGTCCAGAATGATGGCGATTTGGCAACTTTGCCCCCTCATTTCTCAAAAACCGTGCGTATACTCAAGCTAAAATTTTAACAAGAGATTTAGGGTATCATAAGGTATCGTTTGGGCCCGGTTTCAGAAAAATCCCTTCTGGCCCAAATTGTGCCATTCTTGGCGTCGCTCTTTCTACTAGGAGTATCGACAAACTTTCAACAAAGCGGCAAATTTTTTGGAGACAATTTTCAATTGAACCGGGACGTGCGAAAACCGCTAACGTCCATTTTCCAGTCTTCGGTTTTTTTTAAGTTGATAATGCTTTTAAAGACTCGATACAACCATAAAAGTGATGAAAGGACTCGTTTGGGAATTAAGGTAACCTGGAGAGTGAAGACGAGTATTATCGCCACTTTCGCAGTTGCATCCTCCTCCGAAAAGTATTATCAACTCAAAAAAACCGAGGACTGGAAAAATGGTCAATAGCGACTATCGCACGTCGTAATTCAATTAATACCTTAATTAAAGTACGGTTTAATACTGAACAGAGTGTTTTATTCTCATGTGGCTCTTAAGAGAGGTTTTATGTTTAGTTTTGTACGGGCAGAAGGAACAGGGGAACTTTGGCTCGACTCCACACTCGAGCCTGAGATGCCTCATCAGGTTGTCTTTGTACTTGTAAGTTCGACTGCAATTGGGGCATGCGAACGGCTGCAGCTGGCAATAGGTAAATTTACGACCGGGCAGTCTATTCCCAGTTCCGCTGGCGGGCATTTCGCAAAAACCTGCCAAAACACAAGCAACAGATAATCAATAACGGCCACAGAAACCCTCCCTTATATTCTTCAATTTTTTAGCACCCCGAAAAGGAGGTCGCGAGTTCATTTTAGTATAAGTACTATTCTACCGTGCTAAGGAAGAACATCGTATGAGCCTTCAGACGTTGCCAATTTTACTCCAACAAAAACCGAATTTACTGGGGAAATTCTGAATATGATTTTCCAAAATTTTCAAACAATTTTGTACGCAATTTAATCGAATTTCAAGGAAAAATATGCATGAATGTTGTCAAAAATACATGTCATCGAAGGAAATTTGGCAACTCTTGAATGTTCATACGGCGTTTTCCTTAACACAGCAGTATTGGAAGGCATTGATTCGCTTTTTAATTAGAGGATTTTAGGACTAATAGCGGCTATACATATAAAATCAAACTAAGAAATGTCCTCTTCGGATGACCCCGCTCCTTTTCAAAAATGTACTTACAAATTTTGATGGCAATCAATTCATCAGTGATTAATTAGAAAAAAAACTTCCGACGTGAGGTTATATCCATCACAAAAAAAACCATATGTTTTTTTGAAAATATTCATTGGAATAAAATAATTGGGGCTTTTAAATATTAAGCAATGTATCAGCGAAAAGTTACTGAGACCTTGAAACTTCTGTTTTCTCTTTATGTGAGCGACAGAGCGGAAACTAAACAAATGAATATAATGTGAAACATATAAAGTAAAATAATTATAGACATAGATTTTTTCTTTAGAGAAAAAGTTTAGTATGTTTTGAATTTCAAGCTTAGGAGTATTCACACGATCTGGACTTTATTGAAGTACGTTTGCTACTTTTTTTCTTTTATGATGCCTGTTCGGGTACATTTAGATACCATCGATAGAATACTTTAGATAGTTATTCGATCTTTATACATTTTCAAGTGGCTGATAGATTTAATTGTTAAAACACTTCCATAATAAAATGATTTACCAATCAACCATTTTTTCTCTCGCATCTTCTATGTGGTCTACGCTTAACTGAGTCAGTAAGAATTTCACTCAGGAACCTTAGACGTATAAAAACAAAATTTTTACCGATAAGTAACTCTGTATGAAAAATTGATGCCGATTAATTTTTTGTCCTTATTTGGATGCTGATATGAAATGGTAAAAAAATATTAAGTAATGAATGAAAATATATTTTATTCACAAGAACATGGTGATATGAGAATAAGGTCAAACCGTCAACTTGATGAAATGGTGATACATAAAAATTGTAAAAACACCTTGTAAAGTGGTAAAAACTTAAACTAAGCAAACCATCAAGGCACATATAGAAGACACTGAAGAAATAGAAGCATCTACTGCAAGAAGTTGATAATTGACATTGTCAGAAATTCGATAGACACTTTTCAATTTGAGCCATTAAAAATTAATGTAAACATACAAAAAATAAAGTAATATTACCAAAATAAGGTACCGGACCCATAAACACAACTACATTTTTTATTAATCTTCTTAAAAACTGAATAAAGAAAAGTTATGAAGTGAGATGGTAGAAGGATTAAATAAAGATACTATTATTCAACGATTCAAAAAAAGAGAAAAACTCCAGGCGATTTGGAAGATATAAAAAACCTAAAATATACAGGGTGTGCAAAAACAGCATACTGATTTACTGACAATGACGTGAACTTTAGAGTCCCACTCGCACTTTGCCTGCATTACACTGAAAACCATGAGTCAGAATGGGTGAAAGCGAAGGTAAACTTGTTTTTTTTTCAATCTGGTCCTGCAGGCTGCTTGCTGAGATTAATAGACATAGCGATGGACAAAGAAAATAAAAGGAAAATGGAGAGATCCTATCAGTGTAGGTGGGTGGTTGCAATGGACAAAGGAAGTAAATGATAGACTAACCAACGGCAACCCATGCGGGGGTTAGAAACGTGAAAAAATCACGGCAGTTTGGAAAACTCGCCGGCACGAACTAGTCACCAATCTAGGTGACATGATTGGTGATCTTTGACCAGGTGACAGGTAATTTTTTCACGTTTCGAACTTTGAAACGATGCGCAGCCCGATCGCTCTGTGCCTTGTAGTTAGTCCATCAGTGTCCCCTTTTGTCTATGGCAACTGTCCGTTTCAACCAATAGGATTGCTCCACTTTCTCCCGATCTTATTTGTCTTTGGCTGTGTCGATTAGTTTCAACAATAAGCCCGCAGTGATTGAGGATGCATCCCACGATATGGAACTATTCGGTCACGTCAGTCGGAATATCGCTTAGACCTAGTTGCAGAACAAATTTTTGTTTGTCTAAAACAAAGTATAAAAAAAAAAAAACACATCTGTTATCTAAATGGTAGTTTTATATATAAAACGTGTAACGCTTATACGAAAAAAAATCAAAGTTCAGACCTGACCATACTTTATGAAAAATGATAAAAGTTAGATAAGGTAATTTTTATTTATAGACAATTTTTTTATATAACACATGCATACGAAAGTGTTAAAAGCGAATATTTTTATGTGACTGTTATATAAAAAAAAAGGTCATCATTTTCGTGAGCTTTTCACGAATTAGAAGATTTTTTAGTATGTTTGCGAAAAACTCACGAAAATTATGACTTTTTTATATAATGGTTACATAAAAATGTTCACTTTTAACACTTTCGTATGCATGCGTTATATAAAAAAAATTAACTTCCGTGCATATAATCTTTTTATTTTCCTTCTATGGTTCTGCTACTAGGGAAGTAACGAGTTCCTGAACTTTTCGTTTCCCATGTTGTAAATAAGTGTGGTCAGACTTGAGTCGACCGTGTTTTTATCATACTTTCCGTCGAATTCAGCATCCAAAGACTCTGAAAAACACAAGGAAACAAAAAAATTAGTGCAGGGCGAAAATTTAAAATAGGGGGCGTTTCAGGGTGAAAAAGTCAAAAAATCAAGTTAATCATTCCCTGGAAGTAATGTTTTCCTAATTCTGGACGATTTTTGAGATCTATAAACGTATATGGTCCCGATGTGTTCGGAAATTTCTTTTTTTCACACAGTTTTCCCTTTTCAAATTTCAGTTATTTGTGACGGTCGTGAGCGTGTGACTGTCCTGAGTTCCGAAGCAAAAAAACAGCACGTGGTGACTGGTGTTTCCTTTACTCTGTCGTTTGGGATCATTACAGCAGCCTGTTTGTTGAAACTATTTCTAGCTTTGACAGCAAGATAAGACATTACGACATGGCCTTGTATGTGCCGAACGAGTCATCGATTTTCGATGAGTGAGAGGGATTTCGTCGAGATTAGAGGGTCGTTGTATCCGATTTCTATTCCGTTGTATGTCTTTTACAGATAGATCTCTTATGCATAACGATGCTAATGTTCACTTAAAAAGTCACAGACAATCCACTTACTGAAAATTGCATCAGTGATCTTCCTATTTTCCATGCATGGTTTTTTCCAATGTTTTTTATAGTTCATGTTCGTCAGGAGGCTCTTAGACACCATGTACCTCATCCGTTTGCGCGCAGCTCTTGAAGGGGTTGCAGAGGGATCGAACAAGTTCAAAAATTCAACCTGAGGACAATAGGAAAATAGAATAAGTTGATTCCATATCCTGTTGTATGCTTAACCAAAATTTTGATAAATAAATTAAGATGAAAACGTAGGGTATTTGTGCGTTTTCTCTTGCAAGTTAGGATATTGTTGGGCAAACATCGAAATCAACTGAATAATAATACTGGGGGGTCAGAATAAAAGTGTAATTGATTGTGGAATTAATCAATGATCAACAAGTTTTGAAACGCAATTTACGGAATAATCCAAATAAATACAAAAAAATAAAAAAAGTGGTAAGATGAAAAAATGTAAACCAATAAAAATCAAACAAATTAAAAAAATGAATACTCAGCAATTTTCATTATCAGGATTTCAATTGTTTTCTGTTCCTAATTCCAGTTACAATAAATTTTATTTGGGCACAAAATCTGAAAAATGTATTGCTAACTGTGGCTAATGAACCGTCAAAGTTTTAAATTGCCTATGCTGCCGTGCTAAGGAAGAACGCCGTATGAACATTCGAGAGTTGTCAAATATCCCCCGATAAAACGTTTATTTTTCGGGAAAGCTATGATAATGTTTCCTTGAAATTTTCAGGAACTTTAGGTGAAATTGCAAACAACATTATCAATAAAATTAGAAGAAAAATATTCATAAGTTTACCAGGAAACACGTGTTTTATCGAGGGAAATTTGGCAACGCCTAAATGTTCATACGGCGTTTTTCCTTAGCATGGCAGTATGGGTCATACTCCCTCTTCTGAGCTAAAAAAAAAAATGAAATAAAATGATTAAATAATTTTGACGGTCTCTCTACTTACCAAGAGTGAGAACGTTTCCGGATTGTCTTGGAGTTCTTTATCGAATGCTTCGAGGCTGTCGAGGTCGTTGATTGGAAATCTGGACTTCATTGGGTGATAGTCAATTTTATAGCTCGAACTTTTCGCGAATAATGCAGGAAGCGCTGTGCTTTCTTCTATTATTTCGTCCTCTTCATATTCGACTTTTATAGCGGCTACTCCAACAGCGGCGAATTCGCTTGGGCAGTGCTTCATTACATACGCCTCGAGGGGCACCACCTTCTTTTCACCGTCTGTTAACACACACAAATAAACAAATTGCGATTAATTGTATCATTTAAAATAGCTTTAATGGACCACTAGACAAGGAACGAATTTCAGCATTCTGAAACATGTTTCTTAACCAAAATTTCACGTAGAACACGATGCGCACAACAAAAATTACCGAAATTAACTCCTTACGAAGATATATAATGATTCTTGATGCGTGAATTCAAACCACCCGCTCATTAAAACTCAATGCTCTACGTGATTCAAATCGCGCGCTAAACGTTATCATGACCGTCTCTGCGATGTAAAAATCTGCCAACCTCAATCTTGACGCTTTGGCTAAGCTATAGCAAATTGCTAAAAGTTTGAACAACACATGGTGGGAAATGAACTTCGCTCGATTGAGAAGCTTGCTGAAACCGTTGTAGCGCACAATTTGACTCACGTAGAGCTTTGAGTTTCTTGTGAGCGGGCAGTTCAAATTCCTCGTAACTAGTGTGAAATAAAAACGTTAATATCTTCGTTAGGAGTTGGTTTCAATAATTTTCGTTGTGCAAATCGTGTTCTACGTGAAATTCTGGTTAAGAAACACGCATCAGATTGCTTAAATTCGTACCTTGTCTAGTGGTCCATTAGAAAAAAGAAGAGATAGAATAATATAGTTAATAATATTTAAGTGCTGTACTTAAGGACAATTCTTTTGGGTTGATTAAAGTTTGGTAGTAGGATATTTCCTTATCTCGTTCCTATGGGAACACCTTCAGTTCAATAGAGAATTAGCAGGTGTCTGAAATTTGATGAATTTCGTGAAAGGGAGACTACTGAGTGAACTGAACACGAGGATACCCTTGGTTCATGAATTGAACAATTATTAGTGGAGAAGATATGACAAAATGATCTAATCTGCTGAAATACATGTGTTTAAATGGGAAATGCCGCCAGATGACGTCATTAGGCGGTGCATTTTCTCACCTTTTAATCTATTTTTGTACTATTTCCCACAACAGAAAAAAATTTAAAAAAATTCTGTGAAATCAGCTCTCTAAGCACTTTCAGAAGAAGCAATAAAAAATGTGCATGCAAATTCTCCATTGCGGTGTATTTACCTTTAGTGGAAGAGGCATCTTCAGGCGTGGAGGCAGAATTCTGCGAGACCTGATCAGGCTCATCGGTTTTCGAAGTTTCTGCTTCTTGGTCGTTTTTCTCTTGATCGTCATCATGATGGGCTTGCGGCTGCGGCTCATTGAGTTTTGGTGCGTCTGGTGCATCGTCTGTATTCTTGGTTTCCGAAGGAAGCTCCTTCTGAGCTGCCGAAGGAGGATCTTCGAAGAGAGGCACTTCCATACTCTCATCCTCAGACTCATCTTCCGGGCTATCATCTTCGTTTTCGCTTTCGGTGTCCTTATCATCAGTTTTGATAGGTCCATCTCTTGCATCTGATTCTGTTTCGTCCTTCAGAGAACAATCAAGATTAAAGGACATAAGTTCACATGTGAAAAAAAAGGGGAAAAATAAAAATTCGTAATTTGCCAAGCGAAAACTTTCCAGATTGCGAAACAGACTGAGCAATTTAACATTACCTATAAATGTTAAATGGAACTTTCAGAGACGCACGATGCCACAAATACAGTGATAAGTAAGGTAAGACATCAAGGACAATATTCACCGAGTCACGAAGTCGTACATCGATCGGTTCAATCGAAGCTCACAAAGCGATAAAAACGTGTAATTTCATGGTTGCCACAGAGTGTAGAAAATGAAATTCCCTGACATTTCCCTGATTTACCTGACATTTTGGTGGAATTCCTGACAGTTTAAGATGTGACGGGTGGTTAAGAAGGCATAATTGACAATAGTTTTCAGGCAAAATTTGTTGTTCGAAATCTCAAACCCATTCTAGAAAGCAAATGAAGAGGCTTTAACAAATTTTCCCTGACATTTTCGTCATTTTCCCCGACATTTCCCGGTTTTCCTTGACTTTTGAAAATTCCCTGACATTTCCCGGTTTTCCCTGACTGTGGCAACCCTGCAATTTTCAAATAGCTAACAATTCGTGCTCTCCCGTATATTTGTTGCCTAAGCGACTAAACTGAAGGTGATATCTAATAATAGGAAGAATTTTCTACTATCTTTGCAAAGTTAATGGTTGAGATTAACTTGTAGTTTTGGAACAAATAGAGTAGTAATTTCAAACGTTAATAATTGTAAAAAAATTCAAGCTACAGACCTCCTCATCGTTTTCAGCCGTGGGATCAGATTTCCAAGATTTTCCCATTAAAAATGCGAAATGTTTGAAAGCATACCAATCTGACTGGTAGGACTTTTGATTTCCTGGAAACGAAAAAGAGAGGATTTTTATGAGAAATGAATCGTTCAATTCAAAAGAAACAAAAATATACGGACTACAACGTTTCATCAGAATCAACTAAAAAATGTATAAACAAGCCTAGAGCCTCTCACTAGCATTAACAAATTGTTCAATTCAATATCAGTGGGACCGTGGTTTACAGCCTTCACAGAGTTTCAGCGCAAAGCGGCAACCCTGCGAAATTATTTTCACCCTATTTGAGCAGTGTGCAGAACAGAGGCAAGTGCAGAATTTGACTAGATTTAGGGTTGCACTCTCTCAAATCGTGGAAGATCCCCAACATTACTGCCTCAAGTTTTGGATTTTAGCGGCTCTGGTGCTTGCACTAGAGCTGCTATTCCGGACGGTCCCAGCTGGGGAGTATCAATGCAGCATGTTACATTGTAGAGACCGCGCGTTGGTTGATGGGAATCGGCGCCATTTTCGGCTATGTTCCTTGTCATGACTTTATTTTATTGCATACTGTTTTATTGTTAGTCAATGCTATGTTGTGTATTGTATTTTTGGAATCATGGTGATACAGTCA